ACACAATTTCGCGAACATTATTCAGAACAACCGCATGAACAATATTAGGCACGATGACATGTACAAAATGCTGAAACAAACACCCTAACCAGCATGATACGCAGTATCCTAAGCAGCATCCTCAAAACCATATCTTAAACACCGATCTAACCAGTGTCCAATAGCAGTGCCGCCCCAACTTCGTCAAGTTTTTGCATCGGTCACAGGGCAACCCCACCACCGCGAAGCACACCGACCCCTCATGGCGCAGGGCCACCCCGCGACTGTGACTGCGAAGCACGGCAAAGGCGAAAAACAAGCAGGCGGATGAAGACCAGGAAACTGACACGATAATGAGCACGACAAGATCGACGAGGAGGAGGGCCACGAGGGACGAGGAGGAGGACGAGGATCTAGGGTTTAAGTGCGTGTAGCGCTGGTGTCTCTAAGGTGTTACATGCGTGTGGCGCTGGTGTCTCTAAGGTGTTTAAGTGCGTGTCGGGTTTATGTCTCTAATGCTTAAGTGCGTGTAGCGCTTGTCACTCCAAGCTTTAAGTACGCGTAGCGTGTGTGCCTTTAAGATTTACTGCGTGTAGCGCTGGTGCCTGTAAGGTTTAAGTGCGTGTAGCGCTGGTGCCTGCAAAGTGTAAGTACGGGTAGCGCATGTATTTCCCGGGTTGAATTGCATTTGGCGTTTGTGCCTTGATGGGTTCGTGCGTGTAGCGCTGGTGTCTCTGAAGTTTAAGTATGGGTAGCGCTTGTGTCGCTAAAGTTGAAGTGCGTGTGGCGCTTGTGTCTGTAAGGGTTTCAGTGCGGGTAGCGTCCGTCGCCCTACGTTGTAAGTGCGGGTAGCGTCTGTGTCTCAAGGTTTACGCGCGCGTCGCGTAGGTGCCTGCAAGGTTTACATGAATGTAGCGCTGGTGTCTCTAAGGTTTAAGGGCTGGTAGCTGATGCTTCTCTGAGGTCCAAGTGCGGGTAGCGCTTGTGCCACTAGGGTTAGAGAGCGTCGTGCGTTTTTGCCTCTAAGGTGAAAGTGCGGACTGCGTGACCGCAAGCGGCGCTGAGAGTGCGCGCGGCGCACGGCCCGCCGGGAAGGGGCCCAGCACACGGGCCAGGGCCGCTGGGAAGTGGCCTTTTCTCGCGGCAAGTGGTGCAGCTTACCAGGGAGAGCATTGTATTCCACCCCGACCATTGGAGCCGTCAAGATGCCCTAAGATGGCTCAACAGGGCCGCAGAAGCCCAAAGATGGCGCCCAACATGGCCCCAGATGTTTCAGCATGGTCCAAGATAGTCTCCAATATACTTCTAAAACATTCCAAGGGAAGCCCAAGACGGCTCGAAATCTTCTCTAAACCTTCCGAGGTATTCCCTAAAACGCCAAGAGCCGCCCCAATTCGCGGAGAAGTCAACTAGTGTTGCTTTCTCGCCTTTTCGCTTCCGATAACCTTTTCAGGCTTCAAGATGGCTCGAGGAGAGGCCCAAGAAGGCCTCACGACGGCCCCAAGACGGCCCCAATAACGCCCCAAGAGGGCCCCACGAACCCATTCCTCCTGCTCTTGCTCTGGCTCCGCCTGCTCCTGCTCTGCCGCTGCTGCTGCTGCTGCTGCTGGCTGCTGCTGCTGCTGCTGCTGCTGGCTGCTGCTGGTGCTGCTGCTCCCCCTCCCCCGTATGGGTTTGAGTCGATCGGCCTGGCTCGTTCCCGAATCCTCCCATGCTTCTCCCGCGCTGCGCTGTCGCCCCTCTTCCCAGAGAGCCCCGTCGAGCCAGGACCTGCTGAGGGCGGTCGCTGGTGCCGACGATGACCTTGGCTTGTCCTTCCAGGCAGGGCCGTCCCCTAAGAGTTCGGTCGTCGCCGTTGTCAGGAGAGGCAGGAGGAGGAGGAGGAGGAGGAGGAGGAGGAGGAGGAGGAGGAGGAGGGGGGGGGGGGGGGGTAATTGTAAGGAGGAGGAGGAGGATGAGAAGGAGGAGGAGGAGGAGGAGGAAGAGGAGGAGGAGGAGGCCGACGACCATGTCCATCCCTGGAGAGGTGAGATGTGTCGGTATAGAATAGGAACTCGGATGAGAAGGGGTATCATTGGACAACAAATCGGACACGGGCACCATAATCGCACCAAACGTCAGCGCAACAGTTCGGTGGTTGGCACATGTTCCACGGCACGGCACCGCACGGCAGTGCGCAAGTGGTATTGGGTTTCGTGGCGCACCGCGTGGACCACGCAGTGTGACCCTTATCGCGCTGCCATCCAGCCTCAGATCAGGGTGGACAAGTGCATCGGCAGTCTGCGCACGACGCTCCCTTCTAGAAGAAGCCCAAGCTCGTTTATGCCAACAGATGCAGACAAGCTTCAAAGGTGGCCGAAGACGCGGCGGTAATGCTGGAGGTAAGGGCGAGGATGGAGTCGACCCTGCACCGTGTTGGAGGACATGGTGTGCCGCGCCTTTACGAATCTCGCTGAGGTGTAGGCTGCAGCAAGAAGGGAGGACACGGCAAACGCTTGCCGACATACAGCCGCCGCAGAAGGCGGCAAGTTGCGGGGACCACTGCTGGGCATGCCTCTTGGATCCGGCGCGACGCGGAGTACGCTGACACGATGAAAGTCCGCAGGGCAAGGAGATGCATTGCCCGCGCGAAGGAGACCCTGCGGCAGCGCGCTGCGACGGGGCAGGCCTGTAGCGGCAGGGAGGAGCACCAGCAGCTTTGGCGCACAGTTCAACGATGGCCAGGCGGAGGATTAGGACGAGAGCTTGGAGGCAGAGGAACAGGCACAGGCATTGGAGGAAGACGGCGACGAGGAGACAGGCAGGACGCGCGAGGACGAGGGCGCAACGGACAGGAAAAGAAGGGGGAGGAAGACGCAGAGGATGAAGACGGCAGTTAGGAGACCCTGGAAGAGCGATTCCGCCAGGCAGAGGTGGCGCTGAATGCTGTGGAGGAGGCGCAAAAGCAGGACAGGTTTCAGGAACGGCGCGGTCGGATGCGCGGAGGTATCCAGTAGGTGGTTGCACCTTTGCGAGGGCAGGAGGAGACGGCGACCGCTCCCACGGACACCTGGCAGGGAGTGCCCACGGACACCTGCTGGAAGAGGCCGCGGGGGCGATCCTGGAGCATCGGCAGACGGTGTGGGCGCCCAAGAAAGAGGAGGAAACCATGAGGAGGAGGACGAGAAGGAGGAGGAGGAGGAGGAGGAGGGAGGACGACGAGGACGAGGACGAGGACGAGGAGGACGAGGAGGAGGAGGAGGAGGAGGAGGAGGAGGAGGAGGAGGGTAATCGTGATGATGAAGACGGGGAGGAAGTCTGCAGCTATGGTTCGACAGTGGTATGGCTACGCGGGCATCGATCTTTGCACCTTTTGGATCTTACGCGACATCTACACGGCTGCCTGGGATGAGCATATATGAACGTTCCAGTGGCCCTACTAACCAGGATAATATTTTGTTGATGGCACGGGAGTGTCGAAATCAATTGTGGTGGGAAACCGTCTCGGCCTTGGGCTCATGATTCATAGCTGGCGTGGACACCAACAAGCTTGGGAAGACCCGTTATGCACAGTTTTTGGGTTCAGTTGGCGTTCGATGCGGGCCCGCACACTATCCGCACACCATTTAGACCAGTATGGTTGAAGAGAGCTGCAGATTTCGTTTGAGATGTGTGTTCTTGATTTGGCCTTCATGCTCAAGTTGCCCCTGTAGTATACCCACCGAATATTTTCCGACCCCGCGCCGAGGGTCCGACTAGTCTCCCGGAGCTCCAACCGCACCTGGACGACGACAACTGGGGTACTCTTCACATGCGGGTGTGGATTGAAGTGGATTGCCTTGGAGTGGCGCATGCGGTTAATGGGGAGGCTGTCTTGCGAGCTCACCAGTTGGAGACAAGGTCCAGACTAATTGCCCACCGTGTACGGCACATTGGGCGTCGGTGGAGACCACGTCGTAATATTGACCCGTTTATCATATGGTCCGCCGGGACATTCAACAGCACGGCCGATTACGTGGTCAATTTGGCCATGGACGACAACGCCGATCTCGAGATCAACCCGGGGCACCCCCGGAAAAACATATCGCGACATCGTCGGCGGATTGCGTAGATGCCGGTCGGCTGCTTTGGGCATGGGGGCGCGTAGCGTGGATGGGCAGGGGCGCGTCAGGATAGGGCGTGCTGCGCGGAAACCTGCATACGGCTTGCATTCCAGTCCGAAACAACAGCGTTCGAATGGGTAGTACATTTGTTTTGTGGCCGCATCATTTGGTTGAGAATGTTTTTGTTCCTCTTGCCCTCCCCTCCGCTTGTCCAGTGACTGCATTCATGTTCACCTTGCGGCAACGTGTTGGCGCTGGGCCCGTGAGGTCGTCATGAGCCTACGGCGCGATGACAAATAGCTTGCCGATCACCTAGCACGCGCGCGATTGTGGCAGCGGACGTCCGAAGCAAAGAAGGAGGAAACGGTCGACAGAACTCACTGCGGAGCAACGCGCGCGGGATATCGTAGATGTCGCGCGGCACCAACATTAGCAGGGAGAGGCACTGCGTGCGCTGGGACAGGCAAGGGGCACCGTCAGCGTAATTAGGCACGCGGTCTGGGCTCGAGATCCGATATATGCCAGCTGACGTGGTGGACGCGCTCAGACAGTTGGCCATTCGGCGTCGGCAGGTCAGGCGCCGCAGGCGTCGAACGAGATGCGCCGGGCGAGATTCGAAGCCAGGGGGGGAAGTGCGCCGCGCCGCCGACAGCGCGCGCGGTGGCGGGCGCGGGCTTCGGCGCGCGCCCAGTCCGTCTTGGGCCGCGGAGCTGAGGGAAATGGACGCCCAACGACGCGCGGAGAGGAACGAGTTTAAAGGGTGCGGAACAGACTTTTGCGGGCATTGCAGACAATCTGGCCCAACCGCGCCACGTTGGCACGCTGGATTTCCCATTGCGCCATGGGCGCATGGGCCCGCGAGTGGCGCGCCGCTTCATGGAACGGGCGGGGTGGCCCTCGAGGATAATGCCGCGAAGTCGCGCGGGCGGACCAGATGCGATTGATCGCGCAGGGCAGCACCGCAGGACGCGCCAGAACAGGGGCGCGAGCGAGCGAGGCGGGGGAGTTCACGGAGGCACGCAGGCACGACGCCAAGGTCGATCATCTGCATCGAATGGCTTGCGGCCCATCCCGCCACCGCGTCCATCGGATGTTCGTCGGGATTTCGCGGGAGGCTCATCCTGGACCTTGGGGGCAGTTTGGATGCCTCGAATTTTGTTCTCTGGGGGTGGCCACTTTTGGGCCTCCTGGGAGCCTCTTGGGTGCCCCTTGGGGCAGAAACTTTGATTTTCGGTTAGCGTTTTCTCTTGCGGCTTCCATCTGGCGCCGTCCTGGGGTCTTCTTGGGCCGTGTTCGGCGCTTCCTGGGCCGTCCAGGGGCCTTCTCGGGCCGTCCGTTTCGTGCCTCTCGGGCGCCTCATGGGCCTCCTGGGGCATCCGGGTGCCCCCTGGGGCCGACGGGGCGGAAGAGTCGAATTCGGGTTCGTGGCCCCCCTTGCGGGGCCCTTTCGGGGCCATCCTGGGGCTATATGGGGCCGTTTTGGGCGCCGCTCGGGCCGTCTTGATCCCCCCATGGGCCGTCTTGGAGGCACCCTGGCGGCCTCTTCGGCCGTCTTGGGGAGGCATGGGGGGCTTGCTGGGAGGCATGGGGGGCATGGGGGGCATGGGGCGCCGGGAAGTCGAAGCAGCCGGAAATCCGCGCAACTTCAACTGCCGCAGGGAAATCCGTGATTTTGCCCCCGGGACCCCCCTCGGCAGTCATGGGCCGATGGGGGGTCCTTGGGACGTCATGGGGACTTCTGGGGCCGTCTTGGGCGTTTTGGAGCGATGCGCAAGTGTGTCTGCATCTTCTGGGGCCGCCTTGGGGGCCTCTCGGGGCCCTGCCGACCCGTCCGGGGGCGCTCTTGGTGGCCCCAAAAAGTCGCGCGACAGACCGCGCCGGGGCCCGCGGGGGCCGCGCCGTGCACTGGAAGATGCGGGCCGAAAGGCTTCGAGAGGATTGAGGCTCAGAGGAGAAGCGCAGGCGCGGCGCCGAGGGCGGTCATATGCATGGGCGACTGAATGCGGTCTGCGACGACCGCAGCGCAGCGGGCGGCGCGGCAACCCGGCATCGCCCGGGCGGGCGCGGGGGTCTCCGATTGGAAGTTCGGGGCATCCAGCCAGTTGCCCGCGGGCGCCAGGCAGAGGGGGCGGTGCGCGCGTAGGTAGGGGGCCAGGACAGGGGGACAGGGTGGCTGGTCTTGGAGACCGGCGCCCCGGGCACTGTCAAAGTCGAGGCTAGGGGCCGCGCCGCGCGCGCGAAGGGGGCGAGGATGCAAAGCGCGCCGCGGGAAGCCCGGCGCCTGGAGCGATTGCCGGTGCGCCAGCGGAAGATGGCGGGAGAAGCGCGAGCATTGCGTGGCTTCGCGGTATGTCCAAGGGCACTTGCGGCTGGATCGGCAGCGGCTGCCTTTTGGGGGCCAGGCGCATCCGTGCCCTCTTGGAAGGCGGGGCGCTCGCGGTCGACGCGGTAGTGGGCCGTTGGGGCCGCGGCCGCGATAGGGGGGCTGCTGAGGAGGGGGGGCAGCGCCTCCTGGAAAACGAGATGGCCCTGCAAGCGCGGCGCCCTGGCCGTGGAAGCGACGGGCCGGCTGCGTAAATCGGTCTGGCGGCATGAGGCAGACGCAAGAAATGCCGACCTGGGGCGAGGTGGATAAGGATGTCCATGCAAGGCAGATGCCCAAGGTCCGGGACACAGTGGCGCTGGCGGGACCGGCAGCGGTTCAAGGGCCACACGAGAGGGGGCGCGGCCCTCGGTAAAACGTCGATTGCCACGAGGCCCGCGCGAGGCTGGCCAGGAATGCGGCGCGGACAGATGCAGGGGCGAGGATGCGCGCGATGCGCGGGCCCTTCCCGTCGCCTCTGGCGGCGAAGGCAGCAAGAGGAGGTAAGTTTGACGACGCATGCCGCTGCGCGTGGCCAAGATGCGAGACGGACCTGCCAGACCAGGACCACGCCATGCGAGGTGCCATCACCGCCCCTCGCGTGCTCCAGGGCGACCAGCGGGCGCGCTCCAGGCGCGTTGGGGCCCCGACCAGCAGAAGACAGCTAGAAACCGGATTTTCTGAGGTTCCGCTCGGCGGAGAAGGTGGCGGAGCGCACTTCTGACGCCAGGTGCCCAGCGCGCAATTGACGCGGGCGCGCGGCAGCCAGCGGGAGGTTCCGCGGGGGGGGCGAGGGCGAGGATGGCCCTCGCGAGGATGCGGGGCGCCAACAGGACGAGGATGCAGGAGACGAGGGCTCGCGACGAGGAACCCAGCGAAAAATAATAGCTGCAGGAAGGCGAAGCAGAAGAGGCGGAGGAGGAGGAGGAGGAGGAGGAGGAGGAGGGAAACGAGGAGGAAGGAGTGGGCGCACCCGCGCAGGCAATCCCACCACTGACCAAGAAGACGAGGCTGAGGAGAAAGCGGGTGCACCCGCCCGTGCACGCGGACCCCGCTTAGGGCGTGGAGGCAGAGGAG